TGAAGGTCTCCCAGATCGGGTCGCCGCATCGCCGAGGAATCGCCTATGCCTCGCTGAAGCATCGCGGATGCGTCGCCGATGCACCGGCGACGTCGGCGATGGAGAAAACCGGGGCTCGGGCAAAACAGAGTTCTCCGTGTTCGCGTTGTTTTCGCTTTCCCTCGTTGTGCTTTCGTTCCGCCGTTGCTGCAAAACGAAATCGAAACGAAGACGTCCCACGAGATCGCCAGAACACCGTTCGGTTCGACCCCTGGAGAAAACAGGGCTCCACATCGAAGCGCACAACTGATGCATCGGCGATGCGGATCGGTCCTTCGTCCCCGTCTACTCGGACCCCCTTTGAGCAATGATCAAGAGAAGTTCTTGCGCGAGACGGCGCAACGACCCTACGCGGCGGCATACCCGGCCCGCCCGCGCGGCACGCTGCCGTGAAGACGAGGGCGCTTACGCGCGACCTTACGCGAGCAGCTTACTTGTTTAGATTGCGAGTGACGCGGAAGGACCGCGCCCAGTCAACAGGGTCGATCAGCTGAAAAAACGAAGTGAGGGTCAGGCACAGCGCAACTGTCGCCGGCGACACGCGGGGAAAATGACAACCGAAGCGAGCAGCTTACGCGCCAGTGTCGGAGACTGCGATCCCGCCTTTGTGTTTGGTTTGTCGTCCCTCTGGCTGGAGGCCCTCGCTGGGCCCCGGGACAGTCAAAAAGACGGCGCGGGAGGAAACACTGGGAGTAGGAGGAGGGAGGAGGAGGGAGGAGGAGGATGAGGAGGGAGGAGGAGGAGGAAGAGGAGGAGGAGGAGGAGGGAGCAACGATAATGAACGGGTCTTGCGCGAGACGGCGCAACGACCTTCTGCGCTGGCTCACGCGGGCCGCCGGCGCGGCATGCTGCCTCGGATACGAAGGCGCCCACGCGCGACGTCACGCGGGGAGCTCACGAGCGAACGGCGGAGGAGGAGGAGGAGGAGGAGGAGTAGGAGGAGGACGACGAGGAGGAGGGGAAACGAGGAGGAGGAGGAGGAGGAGCTTTCCTGCGTCGCTCCGTCGGGAGGCATGGAGCCCTGGGCGCGCAGCCTGCGCGGGGGCGGGGGGTGCGCAAAGCCGCAGGGCGCCATCGTCAACGAATCTCTCCGCACCGGTCTCGGGAGCAAACAAAAACACACCTCCTCGTCGTCCTCCTCCTCCTCCTCCTCCTCCTCCTTCTCCCCCTCCTCCTCTCGGGAGCCAAAAAAAACACCGTGGAACGAGCTGGCGCCCCCCTCGGCCGCGGGGGAGGGGGGCAGCGAGCATCGAGCAGGAGGCTCGAGGCCCGCGGGTCAGATATAGTAAACGGCCTCGTGCGCCCCCCCCCTCGACGTCGCCCTCGGGCCTGTCCTCCTCTTCCTCATCCTCCTTTTTGTTCCGCTCTCACCCTCGCATTCCTCTTTCTCCTCCTCCTCCTCCTCCTCTTCCTCCTCCTCCTCCTCCTCCTCCTCCCCCTGTTCCTCCTCCTCCCCCTGTTTCTCATCCTCCCCAGCTTCCCCGAGCCCTCGCGCCCCAAAACTGCCCCAAACGCCCACGAGGACCAATGCGGGGAATGGTCAGGCCCCAGTACAGTGGAGGCCAGTCCACACGAAACCTTCCACAAGAGACCCAACCCTGAGACCCAAGGACGTCCATGGCAATTGGGTGAGGGAGCGTCACGCTTTCCATCGCAGAACTATCGAAACCGAAGACACCCAGGGCACCCTGGAGGCAAGCCAGGGTGTTTCTTGGCATGGGCCTCCACTGAAAGATCTGCCAGCGCCTTGGAAAGGTCGAGAGGTGATCACACCAAAGACAGCAAGATTACAACGAGTTGTGCCTTCGAGAGTGCTTCCTTGGGGGTTCGCAAATTCGATTATATATTCTCTGCCCATGCTGCAGGGCAGCATTACTGGATGAAAGCACGAGGGGGACAGACGTCACACTTAGGAATTCCCTGGAATCAGTAAGGGTGGATGCAAGTCGCGACATTGGAACGGCCCTGTCAATCAGCTCCCTCGGCCGAGGATTCGGCCTGAGGCCACGACGAAACAAGCTCAAACCCCTTGAGTCCCTTCGGAGTCGGAGCTTGACAAGATCTGCCAAGCTTGATCGAGAATCGCGGAGGAGGAGGAGGTTTGAGAAGCGAGGATCGAGGACCGCGGATGAGCAGGAGAAGGATTGGATATCGTGGAGGAGGATTGAAGATTGAGGATGTATGGCTGAGGAGGAGGAGAAGGATTGAAGATTGAGGAGGAGGAACGAGGAAGAGGAGACGGCTCGAAGATCAACGACCGCAGAAGAGGATCGAAAATCGATGAGAGAGATCGATGATCGAGTCAAGAATCGAGCCGGAGTTTCGAACAAATGTTTCGCATTCCTCGGCAACCGCAAGCCCGTGTCTGGCCCCGCAACCGCGGAGCCGCCCAAATCCGATCCAGGATGAACAACCTATCAGGATGGACCCCTGAAGGACTTCGGGAGCTGGTGTTCACTGAATTTTGGTCGGGAGGGGAGGCAGGGAAGAAGACAGGGAAGCAACAACCCACCCCATCCAACCCTGGCCCCCTCTCCCGAAAAGCGAGGCCAGGTGGGTGAGGTACGCTCGTTGCGCCGCTTTTGCGACGACTCCTCACAATCGAGCTTCGAAACTCCTTAGCCCAAGAGGGGGTGAGGACTGCCAGGCGGAGTAGGACCATCGCGCCGCATCGCCGAAGAGGACGGGAACGAGCTTCTCTATTCCTCAGGGCACAACGCCTACTACGGTCGAAACGTGGCAACATGGACGCGGGTTCAGAACATGAGCCCCTTCAGCAGGCCCCAGAACCAACGGAAATGTACCCCCAACGAGACACATGCAAAGGCGGATGATCCAGACACGAAGATCATGCAAGGCGGGCCCTCCCGAAGCTAGGGCTGCCTGGGGCCCCCGAAAAAATGCGGCGACACTCCCTGCGGTGATCTCGGAATTTCCGACGACCTCACCGCACGGTCCGTCGCCGCACGGGTAAGGGGGGACTGGCACAGCGAGGGTACAAATCGACTTGGAATCAGCGATGCATCCCCGAAAGATCCTCGATAGCCCCCAGATAGCGAATCCGAGCGTTCTTGGGCGGGGTTCGGCTCTCAGACCCCTATCCCCCAACTCAATCGTGCGGCCACCACGAACCCCCACTGACTCCCCACACGGTGTGCTCAAGAGAGGGAACCAGCGGGGGAGACCGGCTCCGGGGGGGAACCATCGACCATGCAGCAGCGACACACCGCCGACGGCTCGGCGATCTGCACCTGACGACGGCTCCGCACGTGCCTGGGCAAGTTGGAGCCATCAGACCCCAGGTCGGCGAGGAATGGGCGATCAGGAGTGGACACATTCCCCCCCGAGCCTATCCCCCCTGGCGCTGCCCCTGCGGTGTGGCACCGGGCCCAGATGCGAGGTCAGGAGGGGAGGGAGCAGGAAGGCGAGGAGGCGAGGAGGAGAGGAGGAGACTCGCTCACACAGCCGCCTGCGAGTATTGGCCTTGCTCGAGACGCCTGCCTCATGCTGGCACTGGAAAGCTTCCCTCGATTCCCCTCTGCGCTGTGTCGACCTGTGCCCCCAGCCTCTGGTAGAAGCTCATCGCCCGAGCCCCCTCCAGGACCTCCCACTGAAGTTTGCGCACGCGGAGCTCGAGCCCCTCGGCACACAGCCTCCCCATCAGCTGCCTCCCGATCCCGCGGCCCCTCCACCCCGTGCGCACGACCAGCGCGAGCAGCTTGAGGCAGCGACCGACTTCGACGGAAAAACACGGGGCGTACACCGCCAGGCCGACCACCTCCTGGGGAAACCGAGAGGTACCGCGATACCGCCGCTGCCCCCGGACCTCTCCCGGGCGCGCTCTGACCAGCCTTTCGGGGCGAATCCAGCGGTGGCGACGAGGGCCTCCCAAGGGGCCCCCCAAAAAGGGAGAACGAGGGAAGGGTAGCGGTGCGGGTTCCCGCTTTCCTCCTCTGACCTGTACGTCTCCATCTCTCGGCACCGCCGCCACGAGGAAGCGAGCATCGGGCCGCGGTGGAGCCCCAGCGCAGTCGGCGGCTCCCTCGGCCGCTAGGGGCAGCGGGCCGTCCACGCAGTGCTCCTCCTGGCCCTCCTCTGCCGCCAGCTCCCTGATCAGCTGCGATGCTCCCCCTCTGTCCGAGGGCATCTGGCGGCGAGCACAAGGGGGCATGGGGAGGGGGGAGGGCTTCTGAGAAGGAGGCTGCTTCTGAGAAGGCGTTGGCCTTGAATCTGCCGATGACGCCCGCGCCTTCTAAGAAGCAGCCTCCTTCTCAGAAGCCGTCCCCCCTCCCCCTGCCCCCCTCTGCGCGTGTCCAAGGGTATGGCCGTTCGAACTGTCACGCAGGCATCTGACCCTTCAGCGTTGGCAACGCATCGCATGGCATCGACGTCTAATGCGATTGAAATAAGATCTGTGCAATACTGAGCCCCGAAAAATGTGCATATATTGGATGCAGCTCTGCAGGCTGCGACTGGCATCCGGAAATCCACAGCAACACTATGGCTCGCTCTGGCCAGGTCCAAAAGCGAACCCATCAAGGCTCGGCCTACACCACACCTGCGCCAGGCCTGCTGGACATAGAAATCCTCCATGTAAAACAACCGGAGGCACCTGCACACGTCCCATAACGTGAAGTAGACAATAGCACCCGCAAGCTCATCGCATGCAGCCGCCACAAGGCAAAAAAAGAAACCAGCCTCAAGATCTGCTTGCATGTGCTCGTGGGTGAAGCTTAACTTGCGACCTGCTGCCGACAAAAGCTTGTGCAACCCTGGCATGTCGCTAGCACCCCCAACACGTACATCCAACGCAGACAGATCGGCCTTCACTCGCGTCGGCATCGAACCTGGGAAAGAAAATGCAAACAAACAATCTGAAGCGAATACTGGAGCCAGCATGGCTACGGAATTTAGCCTACCCGTATCATAAGGACGCGCGGAAAGGATGCAAGGGCCTTGAAGGCCCGCGTGAACGTTGCTCGAACGAGGTTGGCCAGCGAAAGTCGCTGAGGATGGGCCGAAGGGGCAAGGATGCAAGGGTACATTGGGGAAGGTTGCCCATCCTTGCTATGCGGGCTGGCTGTAGAGGAGCGGGGGGGGGATGAGGAGAACGAAGAAGAAGAGGAGGGGGTGCGCGGAGCCCCCCGAAGCTGAGCTGTTCCCGTCCCGGGTGCCAGCAGCACAAACCGCGAACATACATGCATGCATGCATACATGCATACATACATTCGTGCAAACGTACATACGCACACGCGTAATACGTGCGTGCGTACGTAGATACATGCATACATGCATGCACCATACATGCATACACGCATAAACACATACATATGTACCTAGACATACATACATACACACATACATACATACATACGTACGTACATACATACACACACACATACATACATACATACATACATACACACACATACATGCGTACATACATACATACATACATACATACGTACATATATACATACATACATACATACATACATACATACATACATACATACATACATACATACATACATGCATGCATGCATACATACATACATACATGTATACACGCACATACATGCATACATACATACATACATACATACATGCATGCATGCATGCATACATACACACACATCCATCCATCCATCCATCCATCCATACATACATACATACATACATACATACCTACATACCTACATACCTACATACCTACATACCTACATACCTACATACCTACATACATACATGCATGCATGCATACATACATACACACATACATACATACATAAGTACATTCATGCATACACATACATACGTACATGCATACAAAAACACATGCATCCATACATACACATGCATACATAGACATATGTACAACCATGCATACGTACACACAGTCATACAAACAATCAACTATACACACATGCATGTATGTATGTAAGCATGCATGCATACATATATATGTATACATATATATGTGTAGACATGTATACATACCTACCTAAATACATACATACACACATGGCCACAACCATCCACCCATACATACGTGCATACTTATATGCATGCATACCTGCATATATGCATGCATGCATACATACGTACATACAGCATTCAGTTCAGAACGATTTTGAAATATCTTAGACATAGAGAAGGAGGGAGGAGAGAGAGAGAGAGACGGAGAGAAAACAAGAAAGAGAGAGAGAGAGAAGCGGCCTGCGCACGCCGAAAAGCCAAGGCTCAAGCGAGCACGCGGGAGCCACGTCGGCCAGCGACATGCGCCAACCGAGCGCATAGCAGTTCGCCCGCGTGGCCGCTTCGATTGATCAGGGATCCAAGACTCCTCCGCCGCCCCGCCTTGCAAACCTCCGTTTGACTTCGGCTGTACAAAGAAACGCAAGAAACTGCTTCAGGATGGAGGCCGCTGGATACCGTTTCCGGACTCCGGGGTCATCTATAATAAGGAGGCCACATGCGAACCCTGCCTCTACCCACCACGATTTCTGAGGGGGCGGGTGGGACTCACTTCGCTCGGGAGCTCCTGAGCGAAGTAAACCCCACCCTCCCCCGCAAAGATGGTGGGGGGTAGGGGCACACGTCGGTCGGAAGAAGTACAGTAAGAACAGAAAGTAGGAAGGGGCGGACAAAGTGGATTGGGCCCAGGCCCTCCCAGAGAACGACAAAACCCAGCAGAATCATGCCGATTCTTGAAGCAGGAAGGCGCTTGAAGTAGCTTGGGATCTGGGAAACCCAAAAACACCTACTCTCAACGACCGGCGGGTAGGGCTCGCACGTGGCCCCCCTAAAGTCAAGACACGACCTCCTCCTCCTCCTCCTCCTCCTCCTCCTCCTCCGCCTCCTCCTCCGCCTCCTCCTCCTCCTCCTCCTCCTCCTCCTCCTCCTCCTCCTCCTCCTCCTCCTCCCCTCCCCCTCTTCCTCCTCCTCCTCCTCCTCCTCCTCCTCCTCTCCTCCTCCGCCTCCTCCTCCGCCCTCCTCCTCCTCCTCCTCCTCCTCCTCCTCCTCCTCCTCCTCCTCCTCCTCCCCCTCCCCCTCCCCCTCTTCCTCCTCCTCCTCCTCCTCCTCCTCCTCCTCCTCCTCCTCCGCCTCCTCCTCCGCCTCCTCCTCCGCCTCCTCCTCCTCCTCCTCCTCCTCCTCCTCCCCTCCCCCTCTTCCTCCTACTCCTCCTCCTCCTCCGCCTCCTCCTCCTCCGCCTCGAGGATCCTCCTCCTCGAGAGCTCGGAGGCCCCGCGCACCGGAGAGACGCCCGCCGGCGGAGGCCTCGGCTCGTGCACGCCTCCTGCCGCCTCCCCCGCCGCCGCCGGCGGCGGAGCGGGCGCGCGCCGGCCCTCCCCCCTCCGCCTCTGCGTCCTTCCCCCCCCCATCCCCACTCCCCCCCCTCCCCCCATCCCCACTCCCCCCTCCCCCCCTCCCCCCTCCCCCCCTCCCCCCTCCCCCCCTCCCTCCATCCCCCCTCCCTCCCCCCCCTCCCTCCCCACTCCCACTCGAGTCTTTCGCCTCCTCCCCCCCCCGCCTGCGTCCTCCCCCCCCCCATCCCATCCCTGGCCTTCCAGAGTGCTAAAAAAATAACATTCCAGACCTATAGATCTATCTGGACTGCCTCGAGCCTCGACAGGGATTAGGACGTCGACGTCCTGGTGCTATTTTTTAGCCCTCCTGGAGGGCCAGGGATCCCCGCTCACATTCGAGTCCTTTGCCTCATCCTCATCGTCACCCGCCCCCGCTCAACACGCCGAATGCTCCTCCTCCTCCTCCTCGGCCTCGCTCCTCCCCGGGCCTCTCCTCGCCCAGGCTGCTGGGTACGAGCAGCGGGTGGGCTGGAGCCCCCTCGGATCTGGACCTGACGCCCGAAGAGCCCACGCGGCAGTAGGGGGCGAGGGAAGAGGAGGCCCGCGTCTGACAATGCAGACTACGCTTCTGACCTTCTACAAGCCAGGGCTCCACTGCACCCCACCCTGGTCAGTTCCGGAGAACAAGGACGCTGAAGAGGAGCAGGAGCCACATATCCCGCTCACGGACCTCGACGCCGCCTCAGGAAACGACCCCCAAAAAACTTTGGTGCGAACAGCCAACTATCTGCACATGTGAGTACCGCCTCTGGGCATCGCCTTCCATGGAGCGCAGTGTGGGGCCACGAAGCGCACGAGTGGTGTACCGAAATGGGCCTGCGGGGGCATGCGGGCCCTGCCACTGTGGGCCGGATGTGTTGCCCTGCTGGGGCGGCCGCCATCCCGTGCGACGAAGAGGTGCCCTGCCTGGTCGGCACGTGCGGCATCATTTGCCATCCCACGGTTGCCACTTGCAGGACGCTCGGCGACATCACGGGTGAGCGTGGCGGGGACGGCCCCCCGACTGAGCAGGTGGGCTGAGGTTTCTGCAGGCGCCACATCCAGATTTTCAATGGTCCGTGAAGCCGCTCGCTCTGCCTGCTGATGTAGCCAGCGTGGCCAATGCAGCAACACAGCCACATTTGCCACTTCGCTTCAGCGCAAAATGGGAACAGGCTGTGTAGCACCTTATCAATATATCTGCGTTTCAGTTTAGGGCCGGCGCTTTCGGCAAGCCCCGCCGCCGTGCCAGCGCAGCACCAAGTGCGGGTACTACCCCAAGAGAACCGTCCACACGAAACAAAAAAGAAGGGGACGTATCACCCCCCGATCGCCGCATCAACCCCCGATCGGCCCATTGACCGCCGATGGGGGCCCGATAGCCCACCCCGCCAAGGAGCGTGCGGTTTTGCCAGCGGAGGCACATCGACGATCCGTCGGCGATGCACGCCAGTTCAAGCTCGATTTCTCCCCAATGAGCTGGTCACTCCCTAACGCTTCCTCCTTCTAGGGATTCAGATGTTTGGACGTTTCTGGCCCTTTCATGGGCCTCCATGGGGCCTCTGGAGGCCTCTTGGGAACTCTGGAACTTCGGACCTTTTAGGCCGTCGGGATGCCGCCGCCATTGGATTACTTGCCGCCGTCGTCGCCATCGTCGTCGTCGACATGTTCGGCGGCATTCGGACTATTTCCGAAGGTCGTCGTAGTCGTCGCGTTGTCGTCGTCGGATCCAGGTCCGAAGTTTGAACAACGAGACCATTGAGCTCCACCGAGGCCCTCAGGGGGGGGTCCTACACGGCTCCCCCCCTTTCTCGGCACACCCTTCCAACGCTTCTTGGCCCCATCATGAAGGCCGTAGGGAGCTCCAGCAAGTCCCCCAGGAGACGGGGGTTCTCATATGGTTTCCCACCCATCCCTCACAGGTTCCGTGGCCGCACAGGGCGCTCCACCGGAGCCCTCAGACCCGGGGGAGGGGGTCGCATGCGGCTCGCCAGCCCACTTCGGCACACCCCTCACCTGGCTCGTGGCGGGCGGCCCTACAAGGAGCTCCACCGGAGGCCCCAGTGGCACAGCTCGCAAGCGTCCCCAAGCCCATTTTGATGCACCCGTCGCACGCTTCTCGGACCCACAGGCAACTCACCGAAGGCCCCATCGGGAACTCTACCGAAGGCCCCTGCGACCTGATGAACACGGTGGGCGAGACGCAGCGAATTGCGCAACAGACGAAGCAGAGCGTGGGCGCGCCTGACTTGCAGCAAGAGAGTGCCCCACACTTTCGTGCCCTGCTCGCCCGACCCGACCCGCCCGTCAGGGTCCGCCCGACCCGATCCGACCCGTCCCGCCCGTTAGGGTCCGCCCGCCCGACCCGACCCGCCCGTCAGGGTTCACGCGTGCTCGCTCGAGCGTGCCCCACACTTTCGTGTCCCGCCCGTTCGACCCGACCCGCCCGTTACGGTCCGCCCGACCCGACCCGATCCGCCCCGCCCCTTAGGGTCCACCCGCCCGACCCGACCCGCCCGTCAGGGTTCACGCGTGCTCACCCGACCGTGCCTCACACTTTAGTGCCCCGCCCGTCCGACCCGACCCGCCCATTAGGGTCCGCCCGACCCGAC